GCTAAGGCTTAAGTCAGGCCAATTTTCCTGTATTTCTTCAAAACATCGTACAAATGCTATGTGTTCAGGAAGCCATGGTGCTCAAGCAAATGTGTAGCCCGACCAGGCTGTGCGATGGATTGTATATACAGCCTGACACCATTCCATACAAAACCTATCACCTCTGCAGATCTAGATGAATAACTCTGTATATCTCAAATAAAACTATTCTATTACCACCTTTGACTAATTGCCTTGTTTGAAATATGAACTTTAACTCACAGTTGTCCTGCTTCTAAACTAGAATATCTCTTAATTCATGTTATAATCTGCTAATTCTCACAGCATATCAACTTTCCAATCAGCTTTACCCGCCATGTTTACACTGCCCATGTTTACAAATGTCTGGGCCATTTGTAAATACCTTAGATGACATGTTCTCGGATGTAGGGGTGGTTTACATGAGGACAGCAGATCGTTTAGTTTCCCTTGTTCGATCCATTGCAGATTTTAGTCGCAGTCAGAATGATAGCAAACATTGTGGCTAATTCATAAATTTGGTTGTATTCGTTTCAAAAAGTCGCTGTAACCCCATAAGTACCCAGCGCATCATAGCGCACTGATGGTTACCAGAAGGTGGATGTATACTGATTTATTTGGTATATAACATGTAAAGTGTTCTATGGCGATACTTGGCAAATAAGACAACTACGTGTTTAGCTGCAGCCAATGTTTGAAACGGTATTCTAACCCTAGCAACACCGTTTCTTGGAGCTGGCAAATGTCTGTAATGAAGGCATGACATTTTGTATGTTAATGTGTATTTGTTTGAACATTTAACAATTACTTTGAAAATGCAAAATTTAAATGAAAGTATGTGTGTATGTATGTATGTATGTATGTATGTATGTATGTATGTATGTATGTATGTATGTATGTATGTATGTATGTATGTATGTATGTATGTATGTATGTAATGGTATGTATGTATGTTATGTATGTATGTATGTATGTATGTATGTATGTATGTATGTATGTATGTATGTATGTATGTGGATATGTATGTATGTATGTTGTATGTATGTATGTATGTATGTAATGTATGTATGTATGTATGTATGTTATGTATTGTATGTATGTATGTATGTATGTATGTATGTATGTATGTATGTATGTATGTATGTATGTATGTATGCATGTATGTATGCATGCATGCATGTATGTATATATGCAGAAAGCTTGGATTATCCTTGAATACTAAAAAGACCGAGGTAGTACCCTTTAACATCCCGGCTAACTCCTCTCTACTACTCTCGACTACTCTCGATGCTGAAATATTAGCTGTCAAGGATGAGTTCAAGGACCTAGGCTCTTATATCAGCTCGGAAGGTAAAGATATTGCGTGAGAAAGGCCCTGGCTTGGCGTGCGCTTCACAAGCTGAACGACATCTGGAACTCAAATATGGCGGAAGGGCTAAAAAAGTGTATCTTCGTGGCCTCGGTAGAATCAATTCTCACCTACGGATACTAGACCTGCACATTAACAGTACGAGACAAGACCAGACTGGATGGATGCTACACAAGTATGCTCCGAAAAGTATGTAATGTCACCTGGCAGGATCGTGTACCGAACGAGGTGCTTTATGGGGAACTACCACCACTCTCCTCTAAGATACGATCGAGCACATTGCGTTTGGCGAGGCACTGTGTCCGACACAGTAATGTTGCCGCGCACGTTCTCTGGGAACCTTAACAGGGTCGGGCCTCTCGGGCGGCCAGCGAATGACGTACATCGACCAACTCGGACGCGATACTGGCCTGCAGTCACCCGATGAAATTCGGTCAATTATGCTGCACAGACCATCCTGGCATGCATGCCATCACTATTCTTACCGAGGAGACTCGACCTGATTGATTGATTGATTGATTGATTGATGTATGTGTGTGTGCGTGCGCGCGTGCGTGTGTGCGTGCGCGCGCTTGCGAGTGTGTGTATTTGTAGGACACATCAAAGATTTAACCTTTTATCATCTTGCAAAGATTTAAGTTTCTTACAAGTGCCAATGATTCCTTTGAAAACATGTATGTATTGGCCTACTTGTTATTTTGTTTGAGTGTGCGTGTGTGTGTGTGTGTGTGGTGTCGTCGTGGCGTGGCGTGCGTGCGTGCGTGCGTGCGTGCGTGCGCGCGGAGCGCGCGCGCGCGTGTGTGCCTGCATGCATGCGTGTGTGTGTGTGAATCTGGCTCATTAATTTTGCAAATATATATTTCTTACAAGTACCACCAGTTAAGCAATTAAAAAAAAGCCTAGTGATTATGCGTCTATGTGTGCGTGTGTGTGTGCGTGTGTGTGTGTGCGTGTATGTGTGGGTGGTTGTTTGTTAGCTAGGCTCTTACACAATCCTGTTCTTTGTCAGGAAATTATTCTTAAGTTTCAATTTGTCTATTTTCCATAGGTTTGTACATGATTCTTCATTTATTGAACATAGAGGGCGCTGCTCATTTGGGTGAATAATAATTAGTAAGAATACTAATTAGTGTGCAACTTTCGGACTTGCCTAGTTGTAAATTCTGGTTCAATGATTTTTTATCTCCTATCACACAAAAATTCAAATAGTTACCAGGGGTGGGTCACGAAAATAAAAATCTGGAAGGAGTTTTCACTGCTCGGCCCAGGTCTAATAGTACTATTTAGTACGATATATATAGTACTATATGTAATATGTGTCAGTGTACGCGCTGATGGCGGTGTATGTCTTTTCTGTTGAATATGCCTTCAAGTGCCTGTGGTGCGACCGATGTTCGGCATTGACTAACGCTCGAGACTGAGAGGGTCTATGTCCCCGGGTACTGCCGGAAACGTGACCCTGGCGTACGGTCCGGCGCTCTATACCGGACTCTCGCTCGCACTCTCACTCGCTAATACTGCCGACGTCCGTACCTCGCCTATCCACTAACAAGTCTAGGGAGTCGCCTTACGGCCTTAACCTGCCTAACCCTAAACCCGAGCCCTAACCCTAACCCTAATCCTAACCCTAACCATATCAAAATGGGTGACCAGGGTTAGTTCCGTCTGTCGGCAGTATTCCTGCGCGGACATAGCCCCTATGGGCTTGCTCTAACCCTGGCCTTAGGGGTAGCAGCAAGTTCCTTCTCGCTTAACACTACGTACGCTTGCGCTACATCGGTGATGTAACAGTCGGAGTGCGCTGGTCGGTTTAACCCTAGGCTACTCCGGCTTTAGGCCGTAGCAAGACCGTTCTAAATTCATGGAGCTAAGAGAGGCTAGCCCTGGCTGTAACATGACGACAACCTCTTGTCCAATGATGTCATGATGAGGTTACGATGGTTACAGTTCAAAGCTTCACAAAGGGTGGTCACCACAGTTAGCACGCGGTTCCATTAGGACCTATTTGCATCCAGCTATCAGTTCAACGTAAATCAGAAATCTATTCCAAGAATATATTATTTTAACTTTTCAGTGGTGAGGCTATGATCTATGTTAAGTTATCCTTTTTGCTAGAAGCTAGAAACAGCGTTTTCTACCCCATTGAAAAAGGTTCTTAACTTTTGAGTTGTGGGAAGTAAGGTGGGCTTAACTTTCGATGGACTTGCAGGCATGGCGAAGCTGGAATCAGTAATGAGTAGGGTGCTGTTGCCTTTTGTGTTCATTGCTACTCTGTTTCTGCCAATTTGCCTGACCGAGAATGACCTGTGTAAGAGGCCTCTAGCTATTACACCAAGCTGGAGCAACTTCGGAGGGTCAGTCATGCTAGAGTGTTTTTATGTCTTCAGTGATTCTTTTTAAGTCCCCAATTACTGGGATGCCTGACCGAGCCAGTCATATTCCATGATCATCCGGAGTCATGAGCTGATTCGCGCGTTCCCAATATTGAGACCAGATTTCACACATTGAGGAGAAAAATACTCTCTACTTCAGATATTAGTTCGCACTGTCCGCATCTGAACAGATGGAACACGCGCCTAACCACCCTGCTGCCGGTGTACGCTTCCATGAAAATTGGCGCCATGTCGTGAATTGTTGAGCGTGCGCAGTTCAGCTTGATATAGTAGTATACCCAAATCTCGAAAAGTTCTGTATCAATAGCGATGTTTCATGTTTATAAACATTGACGTTATATGCGTACCATGCGCAGTTTAACGGTTCGGCAGCAAGCAGATGGTGAATATTGTTCCGATACCAAGCCGCACGCTCGCACGCACGGCACGCACGTCTACGTGCACATGCACACGTGCGCACACACGCACGCCATGTACGTGACAGCACACACGGCGCGCAAGCACGCCACGCAGTATTGCAGCGCGCTCGTACGGTGTATCACCACACACACATTGCACACACTCTACGTGCAATACACGCGCGCACACGACGGACAACGCACGTGTACGTGCCACACACATTGAAGCACGGCACGTCTACGTGCACACGCACGCACCATCATGCATTGCGCACGCATGTTTTTACCGTGCGCCGCATGTACGCACGTGTGAAGTGGCGACGCACGCACGCACGCCACGCACGTATCAGGTCACACGCACGACATGCACGCACGTTTACGTGGCGCAACACGCACGCATGCATGCACGTGGCACTAGGCACTTGTATGTTCACACACGCACGCACGTGTACGTGCACGACGCTCACTCGCCACGTGTACGTGTACGTGCACGGCACGAACGCACAGCACGCACGCCAGTGTACGTTTTGCACACGCACGCCACGCACGGTACGTGCACACCTACGCACGCGCACGTGTACGGTGCACTTAGGATCAGAAGGCGCTTTCTATCAGAACATGTAGTCATTGCATTTTTAAATGTCAAGCTCAGCAACGCTTGCGTGAATGCCTACCCAACGCACAATAACAAACGTGACAGCGTGACCTGATCCTATTGACCGTCACGTTGAAACAGTCGCTATTTAGCCTTACTTATGTGATGAATGAATTGTATGCAAAATAGCGAATTACATGGTACGTAACTTTTCTCGTTGCTAGGTGTGGTCGAGGTGTCTGGCATCATGGCATCCCCTGAACTGGCTACGGCGTCTGCCATTGCTGCGATGGTAGCAGCAGCCGAGGAAGCAGAGACAACGGAGACTCACACAGATGAACTGACCGTGTTGATGTCACACATTGGACTAGAAACCTTCCCGGACGATTGCGCGGCGATCGCACACTACGCCTCACTGTCAGACGTCGTAATCTTTGTCGAGGAGGTGTGCCGGTTACAGGTCGACCACAATGCCATCATGTCGCTCGGCAGAAACGTCTCTTTCTTTACAAACCTTACATTCCTGGACATCAGCAACAACCGACTCACGCATATATCTAGCACGGTGTTGCAGCTGCGTCGACTCAAGACATTGGTCGCGAAAAACAATTTGCTAGAGGTCTATTCACTTCCGAAAGAATTTGGGAGTCTGACGTCGTTAGAAACACTACACTTTGGTGGAAACAGTTTTGATGAATTTCCAATGCAACTGATTGAAATGGAAGGATTAAAGAAACTATTTTTAGGTGCCAATCAGATAACTCATGTTCCCGTCCAGATTGGGCAAATGACAAGGTTTGTATAATATATACCCAACCTTCACCCAGGTAAAATTCAGACAGTATCACAGGGGTAGAAATTAACTTGTGAACAAGGGAGTCCAATAGACTCCCTACCCTCAAAAAGAGGGAGTCCGCAGTCTGAGGTTCAAAATTAAAGATATTAACAATAACGCATGTCTGCCAAATTTTCTTTGGACATTAGCTGAAAAAAAACAGTAATTCCGCGAGGCCATGCTCTGAAACGAACTAGTTAGTATGGCAGAATTTTCAGGGAGTCACACAGACTCCTGCATATGTCAAATCAGGGAGTCCGATAGTAAATCAGGGAGTATTTGATTCCGGACTCCCGTTAATTTTGCACCCTGGTATCATTGCAATGCTCTGTTTGGATTTAAATGATAGTACAGTAATATCCTTTGCCTATCGCAGGATAACATATCTGTAAAATGATGTAATCAGCCAAACTACAAATGGCAGATAAAGAGTTTACTACAGGTGTAAGTTAGGGAGAACATGGCTATGGATACATACATAAGTATATAATACATGTTAGACTGGGAAATTCTTGTGACGGGTTCAATTAATAAGTGTGGCAGTGACTAGTGAACTCGTGCTACACGCGTGAATATGCAAAACCTGGGTCGCGATTGGATAAGTGGTATGCAAATAGTAAATTTTTGAATAAGTAAGTTCCACAATTTGGCAACCGGCTATGGATGGGCAGGGTAAGACTTTTACTGTATAGCTATGGAAAAATAATCTGTTCCCTTGCTTTTGTCTTACACAGTCTAGAAGTGCTCTACCTAGGTGGGAATCGCCTAAAAGAAGTGCCTGCAACTGTAGGCTATTTGCAGAAGCTCACTGCCCTCATTCTGTGTAATAACCAGCTGAGAAGTCTGCCTAGTACTGTGTGCCAGCTGAAGTGTCTGCAGACTCTCAGCTTGCATGAAAACAGATTGACGACTCTTCCACCTGAGCTAACTAAATTGAATCTGCTAGATCTGTCACTGAGGTGAGTGAGTGTGCCAGCTGTGTGTGCATTTGGGTGAATAATAATTAGTAAGAATACTAATTAGTGTGCAACTTTCGGACTTGCCTAGTTGTAAATTCTGGTTCAATGATTTTTTATCTCCTATCACACAAAAATTCAAATAGTTACCAGGGGTGGGTCACGAAAATAAAAATCTGGAAGGATTTTCACTGCTCGGCCCACGGTCTAATAGTACTATATAGTACGATATATATAGTACTATATGTATATGTGTCAGTGTACGCGCGATGGCGGGTCGTATGTTTACTGTTGATATGCTTCAAGTGCCTGTGGTGCGACCGATTGTCGGGATTGACTAACGCTGAGACTGAGAGGGTCTATGTCCCCCGTCGTACTGCCGGAACGTACCCTGGGTACGGTCCGGTATACCGGAACGTACCCTGGTACGATCTAATGGTAATATGCCGGACCGTACCTCGCCTACTCCACTAACAAGTCTAGGGAGTCGCCTACGCCTACTGCCTAACCCTAACCCGAGCCCTAACCCTAACCCTAATCCTAACCCTAACCATATCAAATGGTGACCAGGGTACGTTCCGGCAGTACCCTGGGGGACATAGCCCCTATGGGCTTGACTAACCCTAGGCCTTAGGGTAGCCACAAGTTCCCTTCTCGCTTAACACTACGTACGTTGGCGTACACTCGTGTAACAGTCGGAGTGCCTGGTCGGTTTAACCCTAGGCCTACCCGGCTAGGCCTAGCAAGACCGTTTCTAAATTCATGGAGCTAAGAGAGGGCTAGCCCCTGGCTGTAACCATGACGACAATGTCAATGATGTCATGATGAGGTTACGAGGTACAGTCAAAGCTTCACGAAATGGTCACCACAGTTAGCACGGTCATTAGGCCTATTTGCATCCAGATCAGTTCAACTAAAATCAGAAATCTATCCAAGAATCATATTTTAACTTTTCAGGGTGAGGCTATGATCATATTTAAGTATCCTTTTTGCTAGAACTAGAACAGCAGTTTTCTACCCCAGTTAGAAAAAGGGTTCTAACTTTTTGAGTTTTGGGAAGTAAAGTGGGCTTAACTTTCATGGGAATTGCAGGCAGTGGGAAGCTGGAAAGTAATGAGTAGGTGTGTGCCTTTTGTGTTATTGTACTCTGTTTCTGCCAATTGCTGACCGAGAATGACCTGTGTAAGAGGCCCTAGCATATTACACCAAGCTGGATGACACTTCAGGAGGGTCATCACTGCTAGAGTGTTTTATGTCTTCAGTGATTCTTTTAAGTCCCAATTACTGGATTGCCTACGAGCCCGTCATATTCCATGATCATCCGAGTCATGACTGATTCGCGGTTCCCAATATTGAGAACCAGAATTTCACACATTGAGAGAAAAATAACTCCTCTACTTCAGATATGAACTCGCAGCCTTCGATCTGAAAGATGGAACACGCTAACCACTGTGCCGGTGTAGCTTCCATGAAAATTGCCCATGTCGTGAATTTTGAGCGTGCAGTCAGCTTGATATAATAAGTATAACCCAATCTCGAAAGTTCTGTATCAATAGCGATGTTTCATGTTTATAAACATTGACGTCATATGCGTACATGCGCAGTTTAACGGTTGGCAGCAAGCAGATGCGTGATATTGTTCGATACAAGCGCACGCACGCACGCACGCACGCACGTCTACGTGCACATGCACGCGTGCGCACACACGCACGCACTGTACGTGCACACACACGGGCGCACGCACGCACGCACACACTCATGCACGCACGTGTACGTGTACACGCACACACACATGCACACACGTCTACGTGCACATACACGCGCGCACACACGGACACACACGGACACACGCACGTGTACGTGCACACACATTGACGCACGCACGTGTACGTGCACACGCACGCACACACTCATGCATGCACGTGTACGTGCGCACGCATGTACGCACGTGTAAGTGCGCACGCACGCACGCACGCACGCACGTATACGTTCACACGCACGCATGCACGCACGTTTACGTGCGCACACGCACGCATGCATGCACGTGCACAGGCACTTGTATGTGTCACACACGCACGCACGTGTACGTGCACACGCTCACTCGCACGTGTACGTGTACGTGCACACGAACGCACACACGCACGCACGTGTACGTGCACACGCACGCACGCACGTGTACGTGCACTAGATAAACAGCGCTTTCTATCAGAACATGTAGTCATTCATTTGTAAATGTCAAGCAGCACGCTTTGCTGATGCCAACCACACCACATAACAAATACACGTGACCTGATCTATGACGTCACGTGAAACATCGCTATTTAGCTTACTTATGTGATGAATGAATTGTATGCAAAATAGCGAATTACATGGTACGTAACTTTTCTCGTTGTTAGGTGTGGTCGAGGTGTCTGGCATCATGGCATCCCCTGAACTGGCTACGGCGTCTGCCATTGCTGCAATGGTAGCAGCAGCCGAGGAAGCAGAGACAACGGAGACTCACACAGATGAACTGACCGTGTTGATGTCACACATTGGACTAGAAACCTTCCCGGACGACTGCGCGGCGATCGCACACTACGCCTCACTGTCAGACAGCGTAATCTTCGTCGAGGAGGTGTGCCGGTTACAGGTCGACCACAATGCCATCATGTCGCTCGGCAGAAACGTCTCTTTCTTTACAAACCTTACATTCCTGGACATCAGCAACAACCGACTCACGCATATATCTAGCACGGTGTTGCAGCTGCGTCGACTCAAGACATTGGTCGCGAAAAACAATTTGCTAGAGGTCTATTCACTTCCGAAAGAATTTGGGAGTCTGACGTCGTTAGAAACACTACACTTTGGTGGAAACAGTTTTGATGAATTTCCAATGCAACTGATTGAAATGGAAGGATTAAAGAAACTATTTTTAGGTGCCAATCAGATAACTCATGTTCCCGTCCAGATTGGGCAAATGACAAGGTTTGTATAATATATACCCAACCTTCACCCAGGTAAAATTCAGACAGTATCACAGGGGTAGAAATTAACTTGTGAACAAGGGAGTCCAATAGACTCCTTACCCTCAAAAAGAGGGAGTCCGCAGTCTGAGGTTCAAAATTAAAGATATTAACAATAACGCATGTCTGCCAAATTTTCTTTGGACATTAGCTGAAAAAAAACAGTAATTCCGCGAGGCCATGCTCTGAAACGAACTAGTTAGTATGGCAGAATTTTCAGGGAGTCACACAGACTCCTGCATATGTCAAATCAGGGAGTCCGATAGTAAATCAGGGAGTATTTGATTCCGGACTCCCGTTAATTTTGCACCCTGGTATCATTGCAATGCTCTGTTTGGATTTAAATGATAGTACAGTAATATCCTTTGCCTATCACAGGATAACATATCTGTAAAATGATGTAATTAGCCAAACTACAAATGGCAGATAAAGAGTTTACTACAGGTGTAAGTTAGGGAGAACATGGCTATGGATACATACATAAGTATATAATACATGTTAGACTGGGAAATTCTTGTGACGGGTTCAATTAATAAGTGTGGCAGTGACTAGTGAACTCGTGCTACACGCGTGAATATGCAAAACCTGGGTCGCGATTGGATAAGTGGTATGCAAATAGTAAATTTTTGAATAAGTAAGTTCCACAATTTGGCAACCGGCTATGGATGGGCAGGGTAAGACTTTTACTGTATAGCTATGGAAAAATAATCTGTTCCCTTGCTGAAAACAGATTGACGACTCTTCCACCTGAGCTAACTAAATTGAATCTGCTAGATCTGTCACTGAGGTGAGTGAGTGTGCCAGCTGTGTGTGCATTATCGTAGCATTGCAATGTGCTGTATGCATATTATCAGAAGTCTATCAATATTGATAGACTCTTGATATTATATCTCAATGAAAGTTATACAATCTACTAGTGAAAATTTTTTTTCCCAGGGCTCTTTTTGCAAACCCCCCCAAAATTTCGGGGGCTACTTTTTCATTTTCCAGGGCTCTTTTTCCACTTTCCAGGGCGACTTTTTTCCAGAAGCTCAGGGGGTTTGAGAAAGCGGCCCGCGAGGCATGTTTGTATGGCTGTGCACATCGACGCTGCGTATGTGCCTGCTGGCAAGGGCGGCATTGATTGAAGTACGGGGGGGTGGGGGCACGATTGTTTCAGCGTGGTACTAATCACTACTAAAATGTAGAGGGTTGGCATTGCTGGACTATGAGAGAGCGACAGCAAAACTCTTTCGGGGAATTGACGAAAAAGCTACAATCGGGAATGACACACGAGTGTGCCGGCAGAAAAAATAAAATATACGTGTGAATTTCATTAGGATTTTTCATGGATTACCGTTCTATAACCCTACGGGGTCGTTGGTCCTACGGGCCTACGTAGGCACGCCCGCACACATGCACGCACGCCTGCAGGCACGCACGCACACATGCACGCGTGCAGGCACACACGCAAGCACGCCCGCAGGCACACTGGCACGCACGCGCGCAGGCACATACGCAAGCATGCCCGCAGGCACACCGGCACGCACGCACGCAAGCACGCAGGCACACACGCAAGCACGCGCACAGGCACACAGCCACACACGTATATACGCGCGGGCGGCGGCGCGCGCTTGATTGAATGCAATACAGCACAGTACACACATGCATGCTTAAATGGTAAACACTCGACACTTTGACAGTCACACCGTACCATGAATTCTACCGCGCTGTGGAACCGGCTGCCGCTAGCGGCAGAGGCCGAGCGAGATCGGCAAGGCGCGGGACCGACCTGGACAATCGATTTCCAGGGCGACTTTTTCTTTTGGGGTCGCCCCCGATATCATGTTTTCGGGGGCTCTTTTTGGCATTTCGGGGGCGAAATCGCCCGCCGCCCCCGTGTATTTTTCCCCTGCAAACTGCTTTGTTTTCCCTTACCAGGTCGACATAACAAAAAACTGTCTAGTTCTATTTTTGTTTTAAAGTAAATCATAGTCTGATTTGCCGAAAGCGTAACAGAAGTTGCGGAGTTATTATACTTAGTAACAGATACTGATTATATATATATGTTATGTTATGGAACACTAATTGAGGCACCCTTTTAAAATTTGGGAATTTTTTTTACAGCAAATGGAATTGTTTACCTAGCTATACTCGTCCAAGTTTTTAAATTGGTGTGAAATGGGTTTAATGGTGGCCCTGTGTGCTAACCAATCTGGACTCTTGGGCTATACGTGCAGATTATAATACTTAGCAGTGGCAGTAACGCAAGGCTGTAAGTTGCATTATATATTTCTAGGGGAAATCCACTGGTTGTGCGCTTCGTCCAAGAACTTGCCTTTCATCCACCAACACTGCTGGAGTTGGCTGCCCGTCGTATAAAAATCAAAAACATACCCTACAGTGAGGTAGACCTTCCCAGAAGCTTAGTTTCTTACCTCTCAACTGGAAAACAGTGTGTAAACCCAAATTGCAAAGGTGCGTGATGGTTGGAGTGCGAGGCGTGATCTGTGTTTGTTCTCAATGTTGGCATTCACTCGGCAAAACCAATATATCAACTAAGTAAAACGTTTTATTCAAAAACTCATTCATTGCACGTTACACTAATCATAACTATCAACACTTCTCTTATTTTTTTAACCTTGATCGTGATGATCTTAAACCTATAAATCAATAATCTTAAACTCAGCCCATGGCATGACGCCAGCTAGATACCTTGTGCTGAGATCAAACACCAAAGTAATACAGATGCTGCAGACACTGGGTGTATATTTAAATATTCTCAGTACTACAGTATAGCATACCGCATGCTGTTGTGGCAAGAGTAGTGTTTGTGCTATTTTCGATGTAGAGAAGAATTGAATTGAGTCATGCTGCTGACCATATTGAGATCAGCTGATGTGTTTATGCAAAGGAAGGGTCTGATTATGGTCAGGTAAATAAAGCAAGAGATTGTATTGGGTCGATATATCGATGTAAAGGTCGTGGTTAATATTACGGTGCAATGCGAACTTTTTCCTTTCGTTTTCAGGTGTATATTTTGATTCACACGTTGAGAAAGTCAACTTTGTCGACTTTTGCGGGAAGTATCGTCTGCCGCTGATGCAGTACCTCTGTCTACCGAATTGCACAGCACACCCTGTCCAAAACAGCGATGACGACAGTGATTGTGACGGTGACGAGAGTGCAGTGGCCAGTGCAGAACGCATCAAGAAAGTATTGCTGACTCAGTGATTGGCACTGGTTTTTCATGACATGTGCTAGCATGATACTCTCACAAAGAATTAGGAGGTGACAGTATTAATAGTGTGTATGACATCGCAAAATTGTACCATTTACTCAAGATTTTTTTGTTATAATTTGCTCTCCAAATAATTTATGGCTAACTAATGCATACCATAAACAAATTATTGTAGAGTGTGGTGTACAAGCTTATATATATATTTTCTACTGCGGTGTCTGTGATCAATTTTAATTAAAAATTATGGTTTCCAGTGTTGTATCATGCTGCGACATTGGTGTGAATTGTGTAGCCAATCACATCATATACCATCTCACTTACATGTTTTTATTACAAATTGTAGGACAAAATTCAATGTTAATTATTCTTTGTGCTTTAATCTGGAACGAATCTTCTTGAAATTCACGTGAAAAATATGGAAAGTTGTGGTGTCAGTCGTTTCAGCTTTTACCCATTTTCACATGCTTGCGTAGCATTGCGTATCTTTTGTAACTTGGGTGTGAGCATTCGCGATAAGCGTTTTGTAATGGTCGCGTGTGGAATCACCACGGATAAGAGAACAATAGATGAACTCTTCGCTTTAAAGCTGAATATAAACTAATAATTTAGTTCCAGGTAGAGAGTGCAGCTATGAAACTCAAAGGCCATGACATAATTTACATTCATTACAGGTTTAAAAAAATCGGTACCCAGGTTTTAGTGTCATACCTTTGGTCTACCTGCTAGGTTTAAAGTTTGCATGCAAAAAATTAAGATGTTTGCCACCGAGATTTAATAGGTTACACATGTTGATTAAATCTCTTTTAGTTTTCAACCATTTAAAGTCGCATTTATAAAAATTTTGCGATACTGTACGTAGCCCTGGTATTCCGTCGTAAACAAGATCAAGGTCAGGGTCAAGGTCAGTGATCGTAGACAATGATGGTCGAAGAGGTTGTGTATATTATACATGATATAGGCATCTTTATTTGAATACATATGTTGCGGCGTACATGTGCGGGTCAGATAGCCAGTGCCACACCCGAGTCTTTTCGAATCTTCTTATCTCTCCCTTTTATAGGCATCTCATTATGTCATCCGTCCCAGATCAATATAACCAATGAGCATCCCGCGTGCCGTATTGATTCTGTATAATTCTGCTGCCCGGATGTAAGGTGTTCGGACATGTGACGATGAGTCATCTCTGTTATGGCGCAGTAATCTATTCCGCGTCGCCACATCGCCACATTTCACCCCGCCATATTCAAGTCGATTAAACCGGGAATTTAATCGGCTTGTCAGTCTCCTGACTGATTACAATTAGACATTTATAAATCAAACACCATGTAAACGTAAAGATTAATATAGAATAGTGACAATGCTGTATCATGGCGTCCTATTCGAGTCGAGCTTAGGGGCTTCGTTAAGTTCGATCGACTCGCGCGCGTTCGTGCGCGGTGATCGTTACTTAACCGTCCCCTATACGATCTTAGTCAGATGCTGCGCCCTTCGTCGTTCTGCTGATCTCCCCGGCGTCTTCCACGTTGGTGTGTGGTTCATCCATCCCGCTTCCTCCAACGGCTGGCACATGGCGCGTTGAGAGCTGCAGACGATGAAGTCGGTAGACTGACGTATGCTGTTATCCCTGTTTAGTACCAACGTTTCTACTATGGAACTTGTAATAGGATGTTCCCTTGCACGCTCCTGGAACTAAAGTTCCTCGCTAATCATTAGTCGTTATTTATCGGGTGAGTGCCTTCTGCACTCAGCATGTCCAACTATAAGGTATCTCTACCCGAAATATAAGTTCTTAGACTATAAGCGCTTTTCGCATACGATATATGTAGACTAAAATTCTACTCTGATAGGGGGGTCGTTACGTTACAGACGTATATACGGTTTACAGGCTATTTAAACACAATGAGTACGAACGAATATGTGACGCGGTTAAACAACCTACAATCTTCCAATAACACTCGTGGCTTGTCTGCTACGCGATGTGCCCGACGCACCTATTCAGCGTGGCATCACGATGCTGAGTTACATCCATGGATCTCGATGAACAATAACACGTGCAGTTCAATAGGCTTGTGAAACAATCGTATGTCGGCAATGAATCGTTCGAAAATTTGTTTCATATTGTTAGCCTTGAAATATCATAATATGCACTTTTATATTGACTTTATATCGACTTTATATCGACTTTATATTGACTTTTATATGCACTTTTATATTCACGTTATTTGGGTATAACGTGAATACAATAGGCGGTGAGGCTGACTGTGGATGAGGATGGATGGATGGATAACGGAATTTAGAATAACTCTATGTATTTTTGGTAGTCCTTTCAACGGACTCCCACAGTCCCGCAATGAAAACCCACATCCTCTCCTGTTGCTACCCGTTCCGTTACACGACGGCGCGAGATCGGCGGCTAACATCTGCTCTATCAGTTTGTGAATCTGGGAATAGCAGGTTCCCGATCCATCCCTCCCTCGTTGTGGGGAATACCCAGCGCGATTAGGGGGGGGGGGGCGAATCCTCCGCCATTACTTCGATCGTCTACGCCCGCTACGATCGTCAACTTACTACTCGCTGCATGTCGTACCAGTATAACGCATCCAAAATATAAAACGTTATCTGGGACAGAATTATTCCGTCTAGCTGCAACCCTAACCCTATAACCCAAACCCTAACCCTAATCCTAATTGCATTTTAGAGTCATCATATATACCTTAGATTCATATATAAAGTAAAAACTAGTTGTTTTACACCTTATTTCAATGAGAGCAATAGCCTTTCTCGATCACTTTCTTGCTAATATTAGTTGTTGAGCTGGTGAAATTCTTCAGCCTCCAACCCATGCAAGAAACCATTAAGGGCCATGTCCCAAATCTTTGTCCCAAATCTTTACAAATAAATAATATTAAATTTAATCAAAAATTCACAGAGCAGTACCTGCTAAAACTAGTTTGTTTTCCCTCTTTTTAATCATAGGTGGCATGGGCAGGGATCTTAACTATATACGCTGTATTATAACTATTACTGTGCATTATTGCGTAGCAAAACATGAACAGAGTAATAAATAAATATTAAAATGATGAAGTTATAGTCTAGACCAGTGGCGTACGCAGGATTTTCGAAAGGGGGGTGTTAGGAGGACGCGAAGGGGGGGGGGGAAATGGGGGGCTCTCGCCCAGACATTTTTTTGAAATTAGCACCCCTCAGATGCGTTTTCTGCGCGAGCATGGGGGGTGCGGACCGCGAAATTTTTTTTCCCAAACGGTATAACATAGCGAAAAATTTAGCGCCTTCTGAT